AGCTCCATGGTTCCGGCGCCTGCCTGACAAGCACAAGGTCCCGAGTTCGATCCCTGGTACCAAAAATAAAATAAAATAAAAAAATAAAAAGGGGACTCAATGACCAAGTAATTGGTGGACTATAAAAAGTTAAAGTAGAGGGCTGGCGGTTTAGCTCAGTGGTTCCAGCGCCTGCCTCGCAAGCGCAAGGACCCGAGTTTGATCCCCGGTACCAGAAAAAAAAAAAAAAGTTAAAGTAGAGATAGGGAAATGGGTTCTCTAAACTGTCAACAGCACCTCATCAGAGCTAATTTTATTACTGCCTAATTGGTGGCATTGTCCAAGTGATGAGAATGGAAGGGAAAGAATAAATTTTCTTTTTTTTTTTTTTTCTGGTACCAGGGATTGAACTCAGGACCTTGTGCTTGCAGGGCAGGTGCTGGGACCACTGAGCTAAATCCCTGGCCCAAGAATAAATTTTCTTTACACATCAAACAGGTGAGACTAGACAGCAAACTGCATCACCTTTTATTAATAACAAAAGTGGAAGAACAAGTACTTATGATGGTTGCTGTAAGATCATATTCATGGGAGGGGGTGTTGTTATTGTTTTGAGACAGGTTCTCACTAGGGAATCCAGGCTGGCCTTGAACTACGTAGCCATCTGGCTTTCAACTCTTGGTGATTCTCCTGCCTCAGCCTCCCAAGTCTGGGATTACAGACAAGATCACATTCATTTATAACTGCCTCCCACAAAAATCCAAATATGTCAGCTACTCTAACAGAAAAGATGTTAAATATCTCTTAGAGCTGATGCTATGCTCTACCCTGTTTTTCACATGTCAGCAGAATAAAAAGACCAACTCTAGTTTAATGGTAAAACAATCTAGGCAGAGGTTTTTTTTTTGGGGGGGGGTGGTACCAGGGATCAAACTCCAGTCCTTGCGCTTGCAAGGCAAGTGACGGAACTACTGAGCTAAATCCCCGGCCCTAGGCAGAGGTTTTTTTATTGGCACAGAAGAACTCGAGGTCAAGGCAGGAAGATGGCATGTTTAAACCCAGCCTGGGCAACTTAGGGAGATCCAGTCTCTCTGAGTACAATCTCTAATACAGCAATAAATAAATGAATAAATAAAATAAAGGCTGGAAACGTGTATCAACGTGCAGGCCCTGGGTTCAACGTGGCCTTCAAAGTGAACATCAAGAATAATAAACTGGGACCAGGGATTTAGCTCAGTGCTTCCGCTGCCCGCCTCGCAAGCGCAAGGTCCTGAGTTTGATCCCTGGTACCAAGGGCTGGGGATTCAGTTCACAGGCACTGTGCCTGCCTGGAAAGCACAAAGTCCCGAGTTTGATCCCCAGTATCAAAAAAAAAAAGAGTAACAAACTGACTTTTGGGTTGCTGAAACACACACACACTCCCTGAATTTCTACAAGGTTAGACTGTTAGCCTTTAACAATTTAGGAAATCATAAACCATTATGTATTCCTACCCACCTCCTAATTCCCTAGCACATCCAGAGAAGCACTCTCCTCCAATCATCTTATCTTCTTCAAAACATATCCTTGAAAGAAAAAATTCTATTAAATTGAATTTACTAAGCCCAAACCTAAATGAACATGCAGATATACAGAAACAGTCAACTCTATGTATCTGTATACAATAATGCCAAAATGCCTTCAGGCATATTGGGGGGGGGGGTACCAGAGATCGAACTCGGGACCTTGCGCTTGCAAGGCAGGCAGAGGAACCACTGAGCTAAATCCCTAGCCATCAGGCATATTTTTTTAACAGAATTTTTCTTTTTCTTTTTCTTTCTTTCTTTTTTCTTTTGCGTGTTTTGAGACAGGGTCTCGCTATGCAGTTCAGGATGGCCTTGAACTAACGATGTAGTCCAGGCTGGCCTCCAACTCACAGATCCTCCTGTCCCAGCCTTCTGAATGCTGGATTGCAGGCGTGCAACACCATCCCCAGCCAAACAGAATTTTTCTTAATCCAGTTGTTTCACTACATGCCAAAGAAGCAGAGAAGTGTATAAGAAATTAAATAAATTAAAGCAGACAGGGTGGCTCAAGCCTATAACGTCAGCACTCTGGGAGGCTAACCCAGGAAGACGGCAAGTTCTGAGGCCAGCTTGGGCAATTTAGCCACTTTATAGAGTCCCTGTCTCCAAAAGAAATTTTTTTTTAATTAAAGAAAAAAAAGGCCAAGAGATGTGGCTCAGTACAAAGGTCCTGGATTCATCTTTAGTGTTTCCCCCCAAAAAATATATTATTTAAACTTGATATTTTTATACTTTGACTTCACATGTGAACATAATAACCTCAAGGAGCTATAAATTCAACTGAAGCCTAGTATTTGACATTCTGGTGAAAACAGAAAAACATGTATACAATCTGTATTATTAACTGCTAGTTCTAGGATCTTCCACAAAACAAAATCCTATAAAAATATCAAACAGTAACATTACCTAAAACAGATAATGCAATTATCTAATCTAGGAATAAGATGGAAAAGAAGATACATCAATAAATGACAAACATTTCCTTGTCAAAATGTGATTCAGATAGAGGCTGAATCACATTCTGTGATATAAACACACTGCTTTTGGGCAGCTTGGTTAAAGGCCACGCACAATCATTCTTCTTCCTGGGTTGGGGACATTGTGAGATTTTTTTCAAATTGAGAAATTACTGTATTAAAAAGCATCACTTTTTTTTTTTTTTTTTTGGTACCAGGGATCAAACGGGATCTTGCACTTTCGAAGCAGGCGATGGAACCACTGAGCTAAATCCCCGGCCCAAAAAGCATCACTTTTCATCCTTTTTCATGCTTAGAACGAAAGATGAGTTATTCTGGTCCTGTTTTTACAGGAAAGGCAAAAATCACCTTTCTAGAAACTAAAAATAGATGCACATAAATAAAACTCCATTTTATGAAGGTGACTATGACTATCTGTTCCCTCATCTAAGCTTGAATGTTTAAGATAGAACTCTCCAGCCAATTCAAAATGGCAAGAACATGGCTGGGAGTGGTGGAGCAAGCCTGTAATCCCAGCCCTCTGGAAGGCTGAGGGAGGAGGACAGAAAGTTAGCCAGGCCTGGTGGTGCACAATTATAATCCCAGCGCTCGCTCAGAAGACTGAGGCAGAAGGATCACCACAAGTTCGAGGCCAGCCTAGGCTATGTAGTGAGTTCAAATCCAGCCTTTACTAATCAGCAAGACCCTGTCTCAGAAAATAGGAAGGAAGGAAGGAAGGAAGGAAGGAAGGTAGGAAGGCAGGAGGGCGGGCAGGCAGGCAGGCTGGCCCCAGCTTAGGCAACTTGGCAAGGCCTTGTCTCAAAATAAGAAACTGAGGCAGGAGGATTGCCTCAAGTGTGAAGTCAGCCTGGGCTCCACCATGAGTTCAAGACCAGCCTGAACTATAGTAAGACCCTGTCTCAAAACAAGCAAACAAAAAAGGTCTGCCGACATAGCTCAAATTCTTGGTACCATGGTACCTTACACCTGCAATCCCAACACTGAGAGGCTGAGACAGAAGTCCCACCTGCCTGGGCAACTTAGTGAGACCCTATTTCAAAATTAAAAAGAAAAAAGTTAAAAAGGGGGTCGGGGGGCCAGGGATCTAGCTCAGTGGTTTCGCCACCTGCTGCGACCTGAGTTTGATCCCCAGTACCAAAAAAAAGGGGGGGGGGTGTCAGGGATATAGCTCAGTGATAAGAGCACTCCTGGGTTTGATATCCAGTACCTAAAAAAAAAGTCAAAGATGCAATCCTAGGCCTAAAGAAATGTCAAAATTTCAAGCACAGCATCCAACATCAGGTAGCCTCCCCTGTTGGGTGTACAGGCAACAGTCATTGTGGAACACCAGACATTTCTGACAGAAGCTCTAGAACAGTTCCTGACTCACTCCCCCCATACACACATTTTCCCTCCCACATACAATCTGTTACTTTTCTTGTGAGCCTCCTCAGCCCTCCCTTAATCTTCATTAGTTAACCACTCTGAGGTCTCTATATTGTCTCCATTCTCCAAGTTCCAATACTCTGACCACCTAAGCATTCCTCCAGTTCATTTCCCATTATGCAGCACTGCCCCACAACACTCACAGCTACCTGCCACCCATCTTTCCTCCTCAGCCCTAACTCCAAATATCACTTTCCTCAGGCTCTAGTCCAACATAAGACTACAACGCACCTTCTCCGTTTAAGACTCTTTTGACCCTAATTTCGCACACTCCCGACGATCTTTTCGAAACTTCCCGTTCCTACGGACTGAGGATGTAGTTCAGTGGTAGGACCCTTGCCTAGCAGGAGTGAGGTCCCGGGTTCAATACCCAGCTCCACAAAACCAAAACAAACAAAAAGCTTTCCGTTCCTTCCCCAAGTTAGGTAGTCCAGAGAGGAGAGTCACCAAGAGTTAGTTTGAGAAAGTGCGCGAGTGCGCCGGCGCCCCCTCGCGTTGGGGGTGGGGCGAATGGGAAAGAAAGACGCATTGGGGGAGCCACTGCGTAGAAAAGACTCCCCCAATAACCCCACTCCTAACAAAACTCGCGGTTCCTAACTCCGCAGCAATCAAAGGAGTCACAGAACTCTTCAGTGCCCTTTAGTTCGATGATCTCTCCAGCATTTTGAGCCGACTCACTCCTCGATCAACTTGGATCCTTCCTGCCTCTCATACTAGGACTTTTCCCTATTTATCAATCTTCCTTTTACTTTAGTATCTCAAATCCCTTCTTAGTATCTACACCTTCAATCGCCATCCGTCCTCCTCAAAGTCCTCAACCCGTTTTCCTTGAAGACAGTCAACATTTTCGGCAGCTTCTCTTTTCTCAATCAAACCCATCCTCGGCTCAGACTCCCCTGCCCTCTTCGAAATCCTGTACGAAAGCCCAGCCCTCTGTCCTCGCCGGAACCGTTCAGACATTCCCAGCTACAGATGTCCACCCCGGTCTCCCTCTTCCTCCCACCGGACAGTCATCCCCAGCCCGCTGCCCGCGCCGCCCCCCCCCCCGGCTCACCTGCGGTCGGCCCCGGGACCCCGGGATCCAAAGATGAAAATCCGACCGCCGACGGCCCAGAGGCCGACGCCATCTTGGCAGCCCCCTCCCCCTCAGCGGCCTCTCTCCTTTCAGTCGGGCTCTTCCTCTTCTCGGAATCAAACCTTCCCCACGTCTCCTCACAGAGCCCGCGTTCTGCGGGCCACCTGTCCGCCCCCTCCGGGGCCTCCCTCAGACACGGCGGGCGGGCTCCGGGACCGGCTCAGGGCCGCACCATTCGCCGGGCACGGGGGTTCACAAATCCCGTCTCGCACCCCCTCCGCAATTCTGGCCGCTCTCCGGGGGAGATACTTTCCCCTTTCACAAGGGAGCAGGCTCAAGTTGCCGGCCGGGACTCCGCGTCCAGACCAAACTACACCTAAAAGAAAACCGAGGCAAGAACAGTCCCGGAGAAGCCGCCCGCCCCCCTCCTTCTTAGCCACAGCCTGTTTATCGCTCAACCCCTCCGCTCCACTCAGGGTGGCGAAGGAAAACCCGGCACTGCGCATGCGTCCGACCTTCTCAGCCGTCCATCCTCTCTATTGGGAAGGGAAAAGAAACGAAGCCAATCAGGAGGCTACTGACGGTCACGTGAAACAGGTCACTAACGCGCTGGCGAATCTACCAGAGGAAGACACACGCGCCTCGGTCAGAGGTCTACCCCTACGGAGGCTCGGTAGGGAAAGACTGGTTTTTGCGTTCTCTTGAGTTCAGTCGGGTTAAGAGTTCCGGGGCTGATCTCAAATTCACAGTCCAGGAAAGAACTCCGAAGAAGCTCTGGTGTCAAGTCAGAGACTTTATTTATGGGGGGGGGGGGGGACCGGGGATCGAACTCGAGACCTTGCGCTGTCGACGCAGGCGGCGGAACCACTGAGCTAAATCCTGGGCTCGAGTCACAGACTTTAAACAGTTGAATACTATAAAAGTCACATGCTACCAAAAATTCTTCCCAGCCCCTTTCCGGCTTTACTGCTTTTTTTTTTTTTTTTTTTTTTACTATTTAACGTGTATGCATCTCTTACCTTCCTCCGAATGACATTAAAAATAGATGTTTGTGGGGCTGGGGATTTAGCTCAGTGGCTTCGCCGCCTGCTGCGCAAGCGCAAGGACCCAAGTTCGATACCCGGTACCAAAAAAAAAATAAAAAAAAAATAGATGTTTGTGTCAAACAGATGCTAGGCATATGTGTCAAACACTATGCTAGGCATAGTTGATTTGAGTTTTTGTTTTTGTTTTTGGTACTTGGGATTAAACCCAAAGTCTTCACACTGAGCTACTCCCCCAGCCCTTTATTTTTTGAGACAGGGTCTCCCTGAATTACTCCGGCCGAACTCGAACTTGGGATCCTCTGCCTCAGCCTCTCAGAATGTTGGATTTCTGGTGTGCGCCACCAAGCCCTGCATCGGTAAATGTTTGATAAATGAATCAATGGAGACCTGTCAAAAGGACCACATTCGGCGCTTGGTGGTATAAGCCTGTAAACCCAACTACTTGGGAGGCAGAGGCGGGAATATTGCATATTCGAAGCCAGTCTGGACAACTTAGTGAGACTGTGTCTCAAAATAAATACAAAGGGCTGAAGATGTAGCTCAGTGATAGAGCTCCCCTAGGGTCTATTTCCAGTACCGAAAGAAAAAGAGAAAAGGGACCGCAAAAGGCAATCAACCTTACCACGATCCAAAGTCCTTAGCCTCCAACCATCAATTATCTGTGCTTCAAAGGGCATAGAGATGCACAGAGAAATTCTTCCCATTCTAGTCCAATTGTCTCTGCTCAGTTTTAACACAGAATCTTGGATTGTGAACCTTGGTAGGGATCTGAAGACCTGTCTATCTTGAACAAACCAACCTTCTGGAGACCAAGGACTTTGGTTCACTCCTACCTTCCGCTCCTCTTCTCACTGAACAGAGTAGGTGCTGAACAATCATTTGTGGAATGAATAAATGAAGAAGAATTGGGGGAAGTTCTCGGTTTTGTAAGCCCGAGGTGCCCTGGGTGTCCAGATGTCTCCCCGACCCTCCAAAGGGAACGTACGACCTGAAAGTTTATAGAACATTCCCTTATTTACTGCTTTCTGCCCCGGTGCCTCAAGATCTAAAGTAATTGTTTCCTTGCTGCCCCCTGCTGGATTATTTGGCCTCCCTTGGCTACGGAAGGTAGACATATACTTCCACCGATTTGGATTACCATTTGTAATTCCACAGCAGTGAAACAGTATAGTGCTGAAGTGTTTCATAATTCCCTGTACCTGCAATCCCATCCACCTAAACAGTACAGGAACTAGACAGTATGGGTCAAGGATTTGGTTTGTAGGTTTTCAATAAATAAATATTTGTTGAATAAATTATCCTTGTTTCCAGAAAGGATGTAGTTGCTACTATTTCCTGAGTTACTTTAAAAATCAGATAGTGCAGAGAGAAACCTGTTTCTAATTTCAAAATTGGAAATAGTCTAGTAAATCCCAGAATGACCAAAGCAATTAAATAGGGGACTCTTCTCCTTGGGAACTTATCAGCAAATTTGATTTCACCCTTCTTGAAAGAAGAAATTCCTGTTCTGTACCTTTTTTGGGGTCTTTGCTTCTACCTTGTATCCTGGAATAATGACTGCTGCTATTGCACCTACCACCTGGTATTATGTCAGGATGTTTACCTCTTTGCCTTGTAAGACCAAGCTCTTCAGGCAAAGATGACAACTTCTCCATTTTTATATCTCAAGCATCTAGGATAGTACTTGGCAAACAGTAGATGCCAATTCCTGTCAACTAAATGTGTCTCCTAAATATATGAACAGATGAAGGGAAAATTCAAAAAGTGGAGTTAAGGATGTTTAACAAGCAGGTATCTCCCATCTTTACCCCTAAAGCTTTTTTTTGCTCCCATTCCTACTCAATCCCTGGGGTGCCCTCTGAGTCATATGGCTGCTCTTCCCTAGTAACATTCCTGGCATAGCAGAAGTAGGGTGAGTGGCAGGGTGTGGAAGCAGAGGCAGAGCAGGACATGTTGGCTTGGTGCCCCCAAGGAAGTAGAAGAGGGAGTTCACCGATACATTGGGAAGGAAGGCAATCTGGTGACCTCGAAATAGGGCCAGACATTCAGATTTGAGTACATGTGAGTACACACACAACTTTATTAAAGCCTCTTTTGGGGACTGACGCTATAGGTCAGTGGTGGAGAGGAAAATGTATCCTTCAAGTCTTAGAATAGTGTCTAACGTCAGAACAAAGGGGCTAGGGACTGGCAAGAGCAACACAGAGAAAAGAGTAAGAGGATGGGGGCCAGGGATTTAGCTCAGTGTTTCTGCTACCTGCCTCACAAACAAAAGATGCTGAGTTCAATCCCTGGTACCAAATAAATAAATAAGAGGATGAGTTTTTTAGTCTTTCATTTATTCATTAATTCATTCAATTAGTATTATTTAGCCCTAGCTACATCTCAAGGCACCATGAGAGTGGCTATTATACACAGATGAACATAAAACCCCTGCCCTCAAAAATAGCACAGACTAGGGCCCAGGATTTAGCTCAGTGGTTCCAGCACCTGCCTCACAAGCACAAGATCCCAAGTTCGATCCCTGGTACAAAAAAAAAAAAAATAGGTGTCATCATAAACTACGTACAAGTACTATGGTTGAGAACTACATTTTTTTGCTTATGAGGCAGGTGCTGGAACCATTGAGCTAAATCCCCGGCCCTACATTTTAAGAAATTTTTAAAAATGGGAACAGAGTCTTGACAATACCATAGGCTACTTTAGACTGAAACTATTCCAGAGAATCTAGGTGGTATGATTCCCATGGTTATGGAAACTCCTGAAAAGAGAGGAATAATAGTTTTTAAAGGAAGACTTCAGTGTCCTATAAAATTAGAATTTTCCCAAACAGAAAGTAAAGTTCTAAGAAGGAAAAATCTAGAGGCATGACAGAGAATTGAGTGACAGGAATGATGCTGAAATAGGATGTTGTATCAGGAGGTGAGACTAGAAAGACAGGGAGAGGCTAAGTTATGAAGGATCCGGAATGTCATGTTAATAGTCATTATGTACTAAATGCCTACTGTGTGCTAACTAAACATTGTGCTAAGCTGTATACAAGGATATTTCTTTCTCTTTTTTTTTTGCACCAGGGATCAAACTTAGGACCTTCCACTTTCAAGGCAGGCAACAGCACCACGGAGCTAAATCCCCAGCTCAAGGATATTTCTTAATATTCTCAACAACTTTTAAAGTTTAGACATTATCATTATCAATACTTCCACTTAATAGATGAAAAACTAAGATTCACAGAAGTAAAGCTACTAGTCCAAGATCACAAAGCTAGCAAACTGATGATCTCTAAGGTTCCATTCTTAACCACAGTTCTGTGCTTCCTGAGGATCCCATAGATGATGAGGAGCCATTAAGCATTTTTGAAGGTAGGAGTGACAACATCTGGGTTTTTAGAAAGATTCCCACTGCTACAATTTAAAAACAGACTGCGGCTGGGCACAGTGGCCTTTTTACACCCTGCCACTGTGGAGGCTGAGGCAGGACGATTACAAAGTGAAAGCCAGACTGGGCAACTTAGTGAGACTTTGTCTCAAAATAAAACCTAAAGGGGAGAGGGGCTTAGTGGTAGAAAGCCCTTAGGTTTGATCCTAAACCAAAACAAAAATGCACTGGAGCACAGGGAGACTGACCTTTTTTAAAAATATGTGTTTAGGGGGTTGGGGACTTAGCTCAGCGGCATGGGGACCTAGCTCAGCTGCAGGGGGACCTTCCTGGTAAGCATGAGGTGCTGAGTTCGATTCCCCGGTATCAAAAAAAAAAACCTCTTTGACTACTAAATTCTAGACTTAGGATAGTGGGGGTCCTGATGTCACCTACAGGCAAGCCAGATTGGACTGTGCCCTGGCAGGTGGAAACTGTCCTGGAGTGGTTGAGGCAGAAAAGTAAACCCTTAGACAGGGGACTAGGAGCTCCTCGATGCTCTACTGCTTCTGCCTGCGAACGCCGGACTTCCGCAGTCGGCGGCCACTCGCAGGTCGTGGTGTCGAGCGCCGAGTTCTGAGAACCAAACTGAGTGAGGACCCCGCTGGTGGGGCGCAGTCTCGTAGGCGACATGAGTTTGGCTGGGGGCCGGGCCCCCCGGAAGACCGCTGGGAACCGGCTTTCTGGGCTCCTGGAGGCAGAAGAGGAAGATGAGTTCTACCAGACGACTTATGGGGGTTTCACAGAGGCAAGAGTCGGGCACGGAAGAGGAAGGGGAGGAGGCGTAGAGCAGCAACCGGCTAGGGAGAAAGCCGGGACAAAGAAGGGGCGGGGAGCGCAGGGGCGCCGGTGTTGGGACCAGGTGGGTGAGTGGGGGATGCAGTGGAGAGTAGAAGAGAGCGCACTTGGCGTGGGCGAGTGTCAGTCAGTGTCAGGGACGGAAAAGCTCCCCGGAGGCACCCCAGATTCCGGCAGAACGCAACATCTCGCTGCATCTCTCACGTCTAGGTTACACGAGGCACCTTGTAGTCAGGTCACTCGAT